TATGTCTCCTTCTCCTTCCCCAGTTAAAGTACCCTCATTTTCCCCATTTCTCCCTTGATAATACCTGTCTCCTACTCTCCCCCATCTCTTGGGGTCCTCTTTATCCCCATATATTCTTATATTTACAGACAAGTGTATCTCTCACCATTCATCAAACACACTTCTTTTTGCAAGAGATGGAGATTATCACAGAATTCCGCAACTGATAAAATGCGGAGAATAAGTGTCTGGGAGATGCCCAGCTCTAAGTGACACATCTCCAGTGGAACCTGTACATCTAAGGCTCAGGGAACATAGTGGAACAGGAGGCAGCGAGAATATTAATGCATCTCTCAATTCTCACCAGCAAAGCTTCCTCATACACAGCTGGCCAAAATGCAGAGAATAAGAGATTACAGAGTGCATGTCCCTGGACAGGACTCCAATAGTGAACCTCTGCCACCCAGGACTCAGGGACCACTGTGGAAGATGGGCCAGAAAGATGGTAAGAACCAGGGGTGGTGGGTGATCACGGGAAAACAGTTTCCCAGGTTGTTGGGAACTTTCTCATATGAATTTCCAGCAATGGTAACAGAACGCACAAGACCCATGAAACTCAAACCAAACAAAAATCCAGCAGAGACAGGGGAAATTGTTAGGAGGACCCAACCTTAACTGAGGAACTATTGACAGCTGATCACTGCTAGGTGAGGGAGAGTTGATCTTCTTTAACAGTGTGATACTGGATAGGTTGACCAGGCTCTAGTGGATGAACTCACACTGAGGGACATCTGGGGACACAAATTTAGACATGATAGGCCTTTACATATATGATCAAATTCATGAAATCTGGTGGGGGATTATGGGTGGTCACAATAGGGGAGGGGGTTCTAAATATGATCCAGATGTATTGAATAAGATACATAAAATTTCAATTAAATTTTTTTATATAGGAAAGAGAAAATAATAAGGGACAGTGGAATCAACATCAGAAAATTAAGGAGAATGGAGGCGATTAAATTTGTTATTTTTATTTTATGTGTATGAGTTACTTGCATGCATGTATGTGTGTAAGTGCACCCAATCATACAATGCCCTCAGAGGGCAGAAGAGGGCATCAGATTCTGGAACTGGATTTACAGATGGTTGTTACCTATCATGTGGGTGCTTGGACTTGAACCCAAGTCCTCGGGAAGAGAAGTTAGTGCTCTTAACTGCTGAACCATCTCTCTAGCCCCAGTGGAGATTTTTAAAACACTGTTGTACGTAGTTGGTTTTTATAAGTAACCTTTATTTGCATGCCTGGAGAGCCTCAAATACACTTTCCTTTCTTGAAGGGGAATGATTTGCACAAGAAGGGAGACTTGATCTTATGTCCAGAAATTATCTTGAGATTCTTTATTGGAAGAATAGGATGTTTTGTCTGATAAGCATCACTTTAGGCTGAAAAGCATGACTTGTTAGTTTTGCTGTCTTGTGTATGGCACATCTAGATCAGCTAAATAAAAAGTCAAATTATAATGCTTAGGAATTCAAATTTTGATTTAAAAATTCCCAAGTTAAACTCTGAAGAAAGAAGTTGTTCCTAAAACAGAATATTTAAAGGTCACATATGTTTTGCAGTTATCAGAGTGAGCTGTGTACATAAATCTGTACAGATTAACTTGGTGAGGTCCTCTCACAGGTTTCCTTCTGTCCTGATAGTGTGGGGTGAGCAGGCCTTTTGATCCTAACTGATAAGACAACCCTTGGGTACAGAGCAATTCAAGGATTTGCCTGGGTTAACACAGTAGGTTGAACCATGACCAGGGCTGGGTCTTAAAACCTGTAACATCTAACTCAGACTTTTCCTGCTTCCTAAAGCTGTCTGCAGTCCTCCTTCATTCCTCCCAGTTAAACTATGCACATTGAGAAAGGTAGAAATTATGTGTGCGTGCCTGTAACCCAAGTGTTGGGGAGGCGGAAACAAGTTGAAGACCAGCCTGAGCTACACAGCAGAGATTGTCTCAAAAATTGAAGGCTAGTGATGATGGTGGCTCAGGGATAGAGTGCCTGAGAGAGAGAGAGGAGAAAGAGAGGAGAGAGAGGAGAGAGAAAGGAGAGAGAGAGAGAGAGAGAGAGAGAGAGAGAGAGAGGAGAGAGAGAGATTTGTCTAATTGCCTCATTATATTTGCATTTCCAGAGTTACTTATTCCCAGGTATATAACAAGGGTATGGCCTGTTTGTTAAATTCATTAATTAATCTAAACTTGGCTTAGACGTAAAGACACTGCCTCCCTGAATGGTCTGGAGAAGCTCAATTTTTAAAAATTTAATCTGAGTGGCTTTGTATCTGAAGAAATGATCAGTGTGTTTTGTGGAATTCTCTGAAGTCCAGGAATGGCTCCAGGAACTTGACTGTTCAGAAATGGATCTGTGTTCCATAAGAAGAGGAAGAGATCACAAGGACATGATGCTCTCAACCTGTCACAGAATCTCATGCTCCCAGCTTGCTTTCTGTTGAAGTTCTACTATTTTTCAAATTGCCATTCAATCCATGCAATGATATAAATTGTATCCTTACAATGTAAGTGACATTCATTTAAGTAAAAATATTGTTTTGAAATACAGCCTTTCTAGAACTCTAACATGGAGCAATTATCATTTACATGGTTAGTCTTGTGAGTCTAATTATACATCATCTTAAATTGTTATTCAACAGGTTCATTGTTCTTGGTTCCTCAACTAATTGTAAATTACAAACTTTGTGTATCACATCTATTCTCTCTCTCTCTCTCTCTCTCTCTCTCTCTCTCTCTTTCAGAATGATGGGCTCCCTAAACAAATTCTGTATTTAGGAATCTAGTCAAAGAAGGTAGCATTCCTTTACTGTTACTCTTAGTATGATTTGTAAACAGGAGAGAACTTTTAACTTTCTCTTGATCCAACTTAACAGGTATTGATTGCAATTCTGTTTTATTTAATTCCACTTACTCTTTCTTATGAGTTACATTCCTTTTTGAGGTACATATTTTTTGTTAGTAGGACAAAAAATATTGACAAAATTGAGAGTGCTGTTTCCTGTTTTCTCCTCCTTCCATATACTTACAATTATGGGCAGATAGGGTCCATTGATAAAGTGAGAGGGAAATGACTGCAGTAAATGCCTATTATCTCTAGGGTGAGGATAATGAATCAGTCCCAGATGGCCATGGGCATACTACTTGAAAGGAGGAAATGTAATGAACAAAAATCATTATAGTGAATAACCTCCAAACCATCTCTTAACAGGGAATGTACTAGAAGGAAGTCTGTCTTGAATACTAATATTTCTCTTGATATTACACTATAAGAGGTAGAAAGCATAGATACCACATAAGCTAAAGAGATAAAGCTATGGGCATTGGGGGAAGACAGGTTTCATCAACTTACAGAGATTGGTACGGTTTCACAGAGTTTCAAAGAGAGGATGCATTTCTGACGGAGTGGAGCAAAAGTAAGAAGCAAGGTTATCCCATGCTGAGAGATCCTAAAATCAAAAGCTTGGGAGTAAGGAAGACAGTCCTGTGTAGGGAATTGAAATTCTAGGTGTGATAGGGTTAGGGAAGATTTGACTGGTGGCTACTTTGGGACTAGACTGGAATGAGCCAAGAATGTCTGACCAAAACCACAGTCTTTATCTATTGCTGGGTTTTGGTAGAAAATGCTGAGTTTTGGCAAGGTCAGTCTGGTAGTAGAGAGAGACTAAAGGCAGACTGAGCTGTGCAGGTCGAATGGTAAGATGATCTTCAATTAAGACGGTGGGAATGGAGAGGAAAGGACAAATGTGGAAAACATTGAGGGATAGGACTGTGTCTTCAGTAATAGAAGTGGAGGAGGAGGGACAGTGGGAGAAAGAACTGAACACAATTTTAACTCATGTGCTTTACAGTGGATAGCATCCTACAACCACTGGCTCATCCTATCTCTGGGCTTCAAGGGAACCATTGGGCTGACTGGTGACCACCTATAAATAGTTCTCCTTCTCTTTGCATGAATTTCTGACTTCTTTGTTGGCTTGTAACATCATCTCTTTCTACAACTTCATACTTAGCTGGATGACTCTGTGTCAAAGCTACTGCTGAATTTGTTAAGCAATCATATGACTCCATCATCATCCAACTCAGCCATCTTACTTGCCTGAGCATGGAGAAGGCTTGTAAATCCTAGAAAATCCCAGGTTCAATTCACCTGAAGCCTCACAGAGGCTGTTGTGCTGAGAGACCAATAGAGAGCCATGAAGATGTAGCAGTTCTTGGCCTTTGGTTAACCCATACAATGTATCTGAACCCACATTTAAGGGTCTATGAATAACCCTCTGTCCTAGTTTGTTTCTCCATTGCTGTGACAAAATAATCTCACCAATACCAACTTGAGGAGGAAAAGGTATATTTTATTTTACATCTCCCAAGTCAAAGTTCATCAGGGAGCCCAAGGTAGGAACTCAGGGCAGGAACCTGGAGGCAGGAGCTGGAGCACAGGCCATGGAGGAACTCTGCTTACTGGCTCGCTCCACCGGCCCCTGCTCAGCCTGCTTTCTTATGCAACACAGGCTTACCTGCCCAGGGGTGGCACCACCCACAGTAGGCTGGGCCCTTCCACATCACACATCAAGAAGATACCCCTCAGACATGGCCACAGACCAGTTCAATGGAGGCAGTTCCCCAATTGAGGCCCCCTCAACCCAGGTGTGTCAAGCTGACACTAAAGCTATCCAGCACACCCTCCAAACCAACTCTTAACAGGGAATGTACTGGAAGGAAGTCTGTCTTGAATACTAATGTTTGGTGTGATATTGCACTATTATATATTGTAAACCTCAATACTTACTTATATAAAAAATTCCCTGTTCTTCTTTTCCTACATCCTATTGAGAATGGTGGAAATTTACGGGACAGAGTCACAGAAGTATCGGGTATTGTCTATGGTGCTGAACACATAACGTTTTAAGACCCTAGGGTTTTAGAAATATTCCCTACATTAGAAATTTCTAGTTCTCAAGGCTGGAGAGGTGGCTCAGTAGGTGAGGTGCTTGCTGTTCAAGCTTGAGGCACTCAGCTCAGATCCCCAGCATCCACGTAAAGAACCAGATGATTTTTATTATTTTTTATTTGTAAGAGTGAATGCATTTGTGGTGTGCTAATGTGTGTGTGGGTGTGCACTCCCACGCGTGCTTTGTGGAGGCCAGAGGTCAATGTTAGTGGTCTTCTTATTGCTCTCCATTTAAAAAAATTTATTATTTTTATTTTATATGTATGAGTGTATTGCCTACATGTGTTATGCATGTACCATGTCATGCAACACCCACAGAGATGAGAAGAGGGTTTTGGATCTCCTGGAACTGGAGTTACAGATGGTTGTTAGCTAGCATATGGGTTCTGGGAACTGAACCTGGGACTTTGCCATTAGCAGCCAATGCTCTTAATCACCATCTTCTCCAGCCTCTCCACCTTATTTTTTGATTCAGAATCTCTCACTTAACACTTCTGCCCACCAATCGGCTATGCTATGGCCAGTGAGCTCCATGGATCTGCCTGTCTTCTCCTTCAAGCACTGGGGTTACAGACACATGCCATAATCTCTGGTTTTTATGTAGGTGCTAGGAATCCAGCCTCACATCCTCATGGTTACATGACAAGCACTTTACCAACTAAACCATCTCCCCAGCCTCCTTAAAGTACCATTATTAACAGATTTTACTTTTCATTAGGCTGAATGGTGTAATTTAATAAACAATAAAATGTAGACTAGCAGGGTATTGAGTATTTCTTTCTTCCATGTCTTCTCTGTGAGTCAGAATTTCTTAGTATGCTAGTTATTATGTGCAGATAACTTAGGCATCTCTGAAATCCACATTAACATTCTTAGCTAACACCACCTGACTTAAACCAGGAAGTAACTTAGGCATTAGGATAATAGGTCACTAAGCAAGTCACATATTCTTTGTTTCATATAAGGTTCAGATTAAAAGCTCAAACAAAACCAGTGTAAACTCCCTACTTATTCCCTCTCTCAGGAGTAGTAGACACACGTCACCGAGAGTTTGCTTTGGATTTTATCACCATCTTCATCATTATCCATACCTTTCTTCTTGTCATCAAAACCCACATTTTTATTTGGGTACAAGTTCATTGGAAGGGAACTGGGGGAAGAGAGGGGAGACACAGAAAGTGAGTTCAAGGTCTTTTCTTGGCTCAGTTGAGGCAATTCAAGCTGTAGGAAAGAAAAGTACGATATTCTGCCATGTTTTCCTTAGCTATGATTTTGGAGAATTGTACTCATCATTGGGTGCATCCTTTAAGATGACACTGATCACCACCAAGTGCTTTACTGTGGAAGAATGAGTAAGTGAGATAAACTGATCTGAGGGTGTGGAATCTGAACAAAAGAAGGCTTGAGGTTTGAGGAAATACCTTTAAAAGTCTGAAGGCATCTCATATGGGTGTTATTTTTTCTCTAGAAATCCCCTAAACAAAATAAGGGCATTGGAGAGTCAAGACCAAGTCTGTCTTATCCCCTTGAGGCAATGACCACTCACCAAATGTAGGGCAGCGAGGACTTTCATTGCTGCTCTCTGGCTTTCGTCATCTTTAACTCCGGCTGTGTCCCCTTTCTAAATCTTTTCACCCTCCATGGATCATTGCTTCTGGCTATTGCTATTGGCTTTTGTATTAAAGCTCATCCTGTGTGTATTTGAGAGCCTCAGAATCTGTCATTCATCTCCTTACCACTGTCATCTACTTAGCTCAAAGTTCAGCTAATTCACAGACTTTAGGACCTAATATGAAGCCTTCCTCTTTACTCCATTTCTAGGAAACTCTGCCATCCATGTAGGCAGACCTATCTAACAGCACAGCTTGCAGACTCCCAGGTCATTTTCATGTAGGAGCTATTTTCTAGTAGCTTGGATGTCTCCATGGCCTGGATTTTTCTCTCCCTTCAGAGTCTAATATTCGAACATCATAACTTTTGGAGAAAGGCTCCTATCCCTTCCTATCCCTCATTAATTCACTCATATACTACTTACTCCTTGGGATTTTGAGACTTGTCTATAGAAAAGCTTGAAGGACATGCCACATGAGCATCCTGTTTGAGAACCAACTTAACCAGACACAATTAGAATTCATGTTTTTTTTCTTTTTTTCTAGTCTGTTAGGTGGTTATACTAACTCATCTCCCAAGTTATTTTTGACTTTTTTCTCTCCTGTAATTCCTCTCATCCATGTTGAGTCTAATGAGTCTATGTCCAATCTGCCTGTGTCTGTTTAAGCTAATGCTTAAACATCTTTTTGAATTTGTCGTAGACTCTCCTGTTTTGATGTCCTTGGTTCAGCATCTCAACATTCCTTTCTGTCAATCTGTTTTAATCTAACTTGACTACCTCCTTTCCATCTTTGCCTCTCCATATCCATCCTCTTCATCAACACAACAAGGTACATTAGTAATGTTAAAACAACAGTATCATGGCATCGCTACCTCCTTTCCATCTTTGCCTCTCCATATCCATCCTCTTCATCAACACAAGGTACATTAGTAATGTTAAAACAA